CCCCCATACTGTCCCCCGAACCCCAAAAGCTTCTCAGCGGATTTGGGCTGTACTCAGCAAGCGCAGTACAGCCCCCGACTCAGATTTGAAAAAAATCACTGGATGGCTGTTTTCTGACTGGTCGGCAGACCGCCGACCGGTCTGCCCTACTGGTCAGCTGCAAAACGGTCGGTGGTCGGGGTCGGCAGTCGGCAGGTATACAATCCCGTGAGACTCGTTATTGTTGAGGGTGACGATGATGGGCACGGAGAGGGGCAGGCCTGCTAGGTAGAAGTGGTTGCTTAGGGGGTAAAAAAAAAAAAAAAAAAGGGAAAGATGGAGGGAGGTATGGAGGTGAGGGGTGGACAGGAAAGGGAGGAAGATTCAGGAAATTCATAATGGTGGTTGTGATGGTGTTTGGAATTTCAGACTCCGTGGTGCGTGCGCAGAAGTGGAAGCCCGAGATCGCTAGCCTCTTCGGCTGTACTATCAATGTCTATGATGGCTTTCAACTTTCAAGGATCTGTTTTCTGCTTGTCTTCATCTTTCAGATATTCCTCGTTTCGGCTGTCGCTTTCCTCGTCTTCCCCTTGGTCTACCCAGTCCACCAGAGCACTTGTTTTTGACATTTATCTTGTGTTGTTTGCTGTCCTGTGTGATGGTCGTTTTCTTCTCTCTCTATCTTCCCCTTCCCCCCCTTGCTCCCCACCCTAAAATTTACGTTGTGGGTTGGATAATTCAATGTGTACGATTCGATTTTTAAAACTAACTGTTTAAGGTTGTTTCCTTATCTGCCACAGGATGTGCAAGATATTGTCCGCAACGGGTACTGTTTCTCTGATGGCATAGGCCGTATTTCTATGGAATTTGCGGAGGAGATCACCCTAGAGATGCAGAGGGAAGATGTTGCAGGAGACTTGTTTAGAACTCCGTCTGCGTTTCAGGTACGCTTTGCGGGGTATAAAGGAGTGGTTGCGGTTGATCCTCGTCAAGGGACTGACAACAGAGATCTTCATCCTAGCTTCAAAGGAAAGCTGGCATTAAGGAAAAGCATGAAGAAGTTTGAGTCAGTGCATTGTGATTTGGAAGTTCTTAACTGCTCCAAGTTTATGCCGTGCTACCTGAATAGGCAGATAATTATGCTGCTCTCAACGTCTGGTGTACCAGATCATATTTTTGATACCATGCAGAGTGAAATGCTTGAGCAATTGGACTGCATACTGGAGGACAATCAGGCGGCGCTGGATGTCCTTGAGGTGCGCTTCCAAATTCTATGTTTTCTTTTACCCTTCCATCTTCTTTTTCTCCTCTCCTTGCTGCCCCTCTCTCCACCCCCCTATCACTCTTCATTGACTTAATTAAAGTCTCTGTCCCTGCTGTGTTCTCCCTTTCCCACTCTTGGGGAACTTGCTAAATGCTCTCATCAGCTTGGTTACCCCTCTTCTATCCACATATCATCACTTTATTTTCCCTGAATTATAAACAGACCCTGACTGTGGCCTGCCCTTCAGTCCCCATCCGCACATGGTGGGGGTGCCAGTATCACCAAGCCATTCTGGAGCACAGCTCTATATTGAAGTTGTTGTGTCCTTCCTTACACATGGTCAGTGCTGTCCTTCTTGATTATGGTTGTGATATTGTGTGTGTGAATTCTCTCCTATCACTGGCTCTTTCATCTTTTTTGGGATAAGTTAGTACACCAATCAGCCACAAGGCTGGGTGGATTACTTGATACTAACAGTCACGGACGGAAAAGAAACGGGACCGAGGAACCGTGTTACCAACAGGCAATTCATTGATTGATCCCCAGCTGGTAGTTACATGTGCTTATCATTACAATGTAAGAGATCGAAAAGACGAAAGTGTTTACCCTTCGGATGCCATGTGTTCATGTTGCTTTTTCCCTTTTCCTTCTTTCATGGTGTGAAAAGGTTGAAACTTGTGCTGAATCAGAACTAAATCTCAATTCACGATTTGTGTCGTAAATTCAAATGGAACTCGAACCTTTCATCGCCTGCGCACAGGAGGCTAGGAGGGGAATGTATGTGCAATGAATCACAGGTCTTAGTGGGCTGTAAACTAACTAGTTAGGTGTTTTTCTAACTTTTTTGCAGTGTAATGACCCGCCAAAACACAGACTGAGAACACTGCTGATTTCTGGGATTTGCCGATGAATGCCTTGCTGAGATTCCCGCATTCTGCTGTGATTCCCATGTCTGTGTGTGTGTGCGTGCCTGCTGGTTTGCATGCCTGTCTGAGTGCTTGTCGGCTGAGTGAGTGTGTGACCCGCAAGGGTACTTGTTGGTTGAAAGGCCCCGCAGGGCCGGTACTTACCTGTGGCCGTGACTTTGAGGGTTGCAGGGGGAAAACACTCGAGTAGCGGGGATAGGCCCGTGACACTTAGAGCAGAGGGGAAAAACACTCAAGTAGCAGGTAGGCCGGTACCACTGAAGTAGTGGTAGAAGTGTCGGGTACTGGAGGCCGAGCAGAAGAAGACGAAAAGTTGGCATTTTTAGAGGCCCAGTAGCGGTAGGCTAGAGGTAGGCCGGTACCAGTCCAAGTAGCCCGGGTCTAGGGCCTGTCCGGAGGATAGCAGAGCCTGCAATGATGTTTCCCTCCGAAAGGGAGGAGGTAACGGTTGCTGGGAGGCCGCTCGGCCTAGGAAGTCACCGCCCAAGAGGCCAGTAGGCCGCTATATCTTCCGGAGGAGCAAGTAGCTCCTCTTCATTTGCAGTATGCAAGGATTGGCGACATGCTGCTGGAGCACAACGCTGGGCTGATACAGCGCTGCTTGGAGGTGAAGGGCAGTTGGGGCTCAGCCTGGCTATGGCTAGCAGCCCAGCCCGAGGAGGAGGAAGAAGGGGGCGAAGGAGGAGAGTGGCGAGGCACCTACCTGGCTATGGTGGACACCGTCTTCATCACCTTGTTGGGCGCTGCATCCGGAAGGGCCCAGTTGGGGTAGTGCCGCACCAAGGAAGCTCGAGGCAAAGTCAGGCATGGCGGAACAGTCAGCAGCGGCATAGCTGCTTTGGGTTGTCCTTTGGACAGGAGCGCAGCACCATAGCTGCTTTGGGTTGTCCTTTGGACAGGAGGGCAGGACCCTCAGTAGTCCGCTATAGCCTATGCATGTGAGAGGAGGCAGAAGGAGGGAAGCCGTAGCTATGGTGGACTTGTTGTTGTTGTTGCTGTTGAGTCTGCAGTAAGAGGGAACTTCGGATATTGATTCTGGTTCATCCACTCATTGTTATCCTTAACACTCTTTATGCGAATAGCGGGCCTCGCGTAACGCTCCCGCGAGATCCCGCTTTCCCCTGTAGGGAAATGCGGTGGGACCGGCAGGCGGGCTCGACAGATACCGTGTGAGATCGTCGGACCGGTGTCGGACCGGTGTCGGGACCGGCAGGCAAAAAGGCACTAACAGCCAAAAACGGCCACTTGGGGAGATGCATCCATGGCCAGATTCATTCTGGAATATGGCAGTTAGAAAGGACTTTGATTTTCTTTGATTTTTGCAGAGAAAATCAAAGAAAGTCAAGGGCCCTTGCAACCGAAAATTAACGGATCACCTAGGGGAGGCCAAACACATGTTTGAGGTGCACCGGGAGCCAAAATGGAGAGCGGATGCACTTGGAGCCGCTTCTTTTTCTTTCAATTAGGGGCTAGTTGTGGGGCATTGGGACAAAGAAAATAGCCCCTACTGCAGTCCGAGTTGCAACGGACAGCATGGGAAGGGGCAAACACATGTTTTAGGTGCTCCGGGAACCAAAATTGAGCCCGGAGGCACTTAGAAATTTAACGCTTCATTTTCTTTTAGCATGAGGCATGGTGTGGGGCTGTAGGACTACAAAATTGGCTGTGGCTGCAATCCGAGAAATAACGGACTGCATAGGGATGCCTAGGCCAAGTGAAAATGAGCCACGACACGTCCAAAAAGCTAGCAAACGACACCATAGGCATAGGGGAGCATAACGGCAAGGCGGGGGTCTCGCGGCCGGAAATAATCGGCACGCTTGAAGGCACATGGGAATAATAAAATGGGAATGTCGGGGACATGGAAAGTCCCAAATAAAAATTGGGCATCAACCGAGATGATGTCGGGGACTAAATGGGCCAAAATAAAAATTGTCGAAAATCGGGATTTGTCGACGGCACCGCCGGCGGGTCTAGCGCGGGAAATCGGCGGGGACTCGAGGGGTCCCAAGGGAACTACAAGCCAATGTAGGGAGTGGGTGTGCGAGGTCAACGGCGCCGTCACGATCGAAGATCTTGATGATGGGAAATATTAGCACCACTAGTGCATTAGTGGAGCCCAAACGGGAGGACCGGGAATGAAAACAAAGAAAAATGGGTGATGGGAGGGCTGCCCGGCAGTCCGAGATATCTCGGACCAGCTAGGCCTGAGAAATTAAGAGCCCAAGGGGCTCCATGCAAGAAGAAGGCTGTCAAAAATTAATCGGAGCCAAGGGGGCTCAAAATTGAGGCTAACGAGAGCAAAATGAGCCCTCTAGGGGCATGGGCATGCCAATTTGGAAGACCGAGATGTAACGGCCAACAGCCGGCCATGAACCTGGCCATGAATGAGGATATAAGCCCTAGAAAGAGAGTGCACAACAATTTAACACTTGTCACAACAAAAATAAAAGAAAAAGAAAAAAATAAGGGGAGAAAATGGGGGAGAATGAGACAAAATGGGAGAAAAGGGTGGAGGAGAAGGTGTCGGCTTATTGGGACTGCTGCAGCAGGGACTGGCAGGTCCCAATGATGACCTCATCCCTCCTAGAATGAGGGAGGGCAATCCGGATTGCTGAGATATGGCCATATCTCAACAATATCTGAATTAAAAAGGCAGAAATGAGAGAAAATGCAAAAGGGGGATGGCCGATTTTCTTTTTGACCATGGATCTGAGATCAGATCTTATGGTGGAGAAGAAACAGCCGTTTTTTGTGGGCCAGCTCAAAACGGCTAGCTCCGGAATGAGGTGGCAGCCCAAAATGGAAAGAAACAAAAGAGGGAAAAATACAAAACTGTGCACTTGGCCCCAAAAGAGAGCCAGATGCACCAAAAATTGAAAAATTTGAACTTAGGGGCTCAAATTTGGAGCAAGGACCACCATGGGGTAGCTCGGAATAATGCCGGCCTTGGATCTCAGCCTGATCTAAGGCTGAAAATGTGCCGCCATATGGAAAAATGCTCCGGCCTACCCAAGGGAGGCCAAAATCAGAAAAAGTCGAGAAAAAGGTCTTTTTCTCTCAAGTAGGCTTACCCCTTGGACCTTGGACTCAAGGGGGCAACATTTTTCAAGTGGTATGAGGCTGGAAAAAGGCCCAAGGGGTAGGCCGAGTTGGTACCAACCACTCGGACTGCATGTACCTAGCCATAATGAGGCCCAGGTGCCCCCGGAGAGGCCTAGTGGTGAAAATTGGCCATGGGGGTACCTCGGTTCACTTTGGGGCACATGGGGAGGCGCATGGGCTGGCCGGACTGCTGTTTCCAGCCTACATAAGTTGGGAGTCCAGTCCGCCACACTCCCATTTGCATGAGGAGTGCCCATGTTGCCCAAATGTGCCCATGATAGCACCACACTCACTTGGAGTGAAGTGAGGGGAAATGCCAGTTTGGGAGCTTAGAGGAGACTGTGAGCTAGTGTGTAGGACTCTACAGGCTAGTGGTAGTGGAGGAAGGTCATTCGCCATAGCTCCCAGGTTGTGAGGAAGAGAGGAAGGTTAGAGGGAGCGCCATTAGCCCTCCTAGAAGGGAGGACTCCATAGCCATAGTGATTGGAGTTTGTGGCAACTTGGGAGGGAGTGAGAGAGGAAGGAGGAGAAGGGCTTGGAGGGGAAGGAAGCCATAGCCAAGGGGGTGGTTGAGCAAGGAGAGAAAGGCCTTCATCAAGATACTCCATCCCAAGACACCAAGGAGGTGGGTGAAGAGGAGGGCCTTGTCCTCCTTCTTCTTCTTCTTCTTCTTCCTTTTCTTCTTCTTCTTCTTCTTCCTCTTCCTCTTCCTCCTCCTCCTCCTCCCCTTCTTTTTCCTCTCCCTCTTCTTCTTCCCCTTCTTCTTCCCATTCTTCTTCCTCCTCCCTCTCCTTCTCCTCCCCCTCCTTCTTCTTCTTCTTCTTCTTCTTCTTCTTCTTCTCTTCCCTCTTCGTCCCCCTCTTCTTCTTCTTCTTCCTCTCCCTCTTCATCTTCCTCCTCTTCTTCTCCCCCTTCTTCATCTTGATTTTCACTCCCATGTAAATCGCCACTTTCCCCCTTG